GATGGTTTAATTAAGATTAGAAGCCGGACGGTGGTGGTGCCCGCCAGGAGCTCCTTTCCGTCGCTCCACGTTCCCCGCAGCGCCTCGCCCAGCCCGGCAACTGGTCCGGGAGAGCTTCCGGCAAGCTTCCACGCGCGCAGGCACGCATGGAAGCGTTTCTGACAGCGCTTTAGCAGCGCTGCAGGGGAGCTTCCCAGAGCTCTCCAGGAAAGATTTCCCGTTTTCCTGTCCCCGAAGGATTTCTTCTCTCTCCGGGTTTTGGACGCTACCAAGTACCTCGTAGAGCTCTTCGGCATAACTCGGAGAGCTTCCCTTAGCAAGTTATTGCTGGAAGCTTAAGAGTAATACCTCGTAGAGCTCTTCGGCATCCATGAGCTAGAGGAATTCCGGCGCGGGGTAGAGCTAGCTGGTCGACCCGACCAGAAAGGACAAAGTGATACCTCGTAGAGCTCTTCGGCATCGATGAGCTCTTCGGCATCGCTGAGCTAGAGGAATAACTCGTAGAGCTTCCCTTTGCAAGTTATTGCTGGAAGCTTGAGAGTAACTCGTAGAGCTTCCCTGAGCAAGTTATTGCTGGAAGCTTACGAGTAATTCAGGGGCCCTCGAGAGCTAGTACCTCGTAGAGCTCTTCGGCGTCGATGAGCTGGAGGAATACCTCGTAGAGCTCTTCGTCGTCGATGAGCTGGAGGAATTCCGGCGCGGGGTGGAGCTAGTACCTCGTAGAGCTCTTCGTTATCGATGAGCTAGAGGAATTCCGGCGCGGGGTGGAGCCAGTACCTCGCAGAGCTCTTTGGCATCGATGAGCTAGAGGAATTCCGGCGCGAGGTGGAGCTAGTTGGCCGACCCGACCAAAAGAGACAATGTTCCCGGAGAGCTCTCTGAGAGCTAGAGGGCTTAAGATTAGAAGCCGGGCGGTGGTGGGCCCGCCAGCAGCCCATCTCCGACGCTCCACGATCCCCGCAGCAGCTTGTAAAACGTCGCAGCGGGCCCGGGAGAGCTTCCGGCGAGCGTGAACGCGAGCCTGCACGCGTGCAGGCACGCGTGGAATCGCTCCTGGCAGCGCTTCAGAGACGCTGCACGGGAGCCCCCCAGAGCCCCAGAAGCGCTTCACGGAAACGTCGGACGGCTCGCCAGGAAAGCTTTCCGGCGTGTCTTCTCTTTGCTCTCCGGGTTTCGAACGCTACCAAGTGGCATATTTGGGTCGGTTATGCGAATATAACTCGTAGAGCTTCCCTTAGCTAGTTGCTGGAAGCTTAAGAGTAATTCCGGCGCGCTGGAGAGCTAGTTGGCAAGAAAAATCTCGACGGACCTTTTGGTGACTTTTGGTCGGTTGAAAATTTTGTTCTCGAAATTCAAGTATTCGTTTGAGCTCTAGTATTTTTTCTGACCATATTCGATCTTATTCCCGCTCGCCATCTTAATCTCAGCTCGATCGGGTAAATATTTCTGCAAAAAAGCATCGCGGCGGGATCGGCTGTTTCGAGTCATCTTGATACGCGTTGTCGGTATGTTGTACTTAACTCGAGCTGTAGGGCAGCTACAGAGCTCATTCTCACAGAAATCGATGCGAATCATCAGGCGCGTTCGTCTGTTCCATCTAGAGGTCTGAACTCGGTCTGCTGCCCGAGCTAGGTCCGCGAAACTATTCGTGTTGTTGGAGTCATCTTGAGAGGTGCTGACAGTTTTCTGCACTTAACTCGGGCTGTAGGGGGGCTACAGGGCTCGTACTCACAGGAATCGATTCGGAGACATCAGGCGCGTCCGCCTGCCAAATCCAGAGCTCGGAACTCGGTGTGCTGCCCGAGCTGGGTTCGCAAAACTGTTCGTATTCGTCGAGTCATCTTGAGAGGTGCTGTCCGTTTTCTGCACTTAACTCGAGCTGTAAGGGGGCTGCAGGGTTGGTAATCACTGGAATCGATTCGGAGACATCAGTCGCGTCCACCTGTCGCATTCAAAGCCCTGAACTCGGCCTGCTGCCCGAGCTAGGTCCGCGAAACTATTCGTATTGTTCGAGTCATCTTCAGAGGTGCTGTCGATTTTCTGCACTTAACTCGGGCTGTAAGGGGGCTGCAGGGCTGGTAATCACAGAAATCGATTCGGAGACATCAGGCGCGTCCGCCTGTTGCATTCAGATGTCTGAACTCGGTCTGATACTCGAGCTAGACTCGCGAAACTATTTGTATTGTTCGAGTGATCTTGAGAGGTGCTGTCGATTTTCGCACGTAATTCGGGCTGTGGGAGAGCTACGGAGCTCGTGCGCACAGAAAACGATCCAGAAGCATGAGGGGCGTTTGGGTGTTGCATCGAGAGGTTTGAAATCGTTTAGGATGAAAAACTATTCGTTGTCTGCAATTTTTTCGACATTATATATGCTCAGGAAGCTCTACGAGTCCCCCGGCGGCAAGGAAGGTTGACGGTCTACCGCCGGCGCCCAGTTTGAAAGATATTCCCGGAGAGCTCTCTGAGAGCTAAAGGGTTTTAGATTAGAGGCCGGACGGTGGTGGTGTCTGTCAGCAGCCCATCTTCGCCGGTCCACGATCCCCGCAGCGACTTGTAAAACGTCGCAGCGGGTCCGGGAGCGCTTCGGGCACGCGTCCACGCCTGCCTGCACGCGCGCAGGCACGCGTGGAAGCGATCCCGGCAGCGCTTCAGAAGCGCTGCAGGGGAGCCCCCAGAGCCCCAGAAGCGCGCCACGAGAGCGTCCGAGGGTTCGCCAGGAAAGCTTTCCGGTGCGCGTTCTCTTTGCTCTCTGCTCTCCGGGTTTTTCCCGGAGAGCTTTCTGAGAGCTAGAGGGCTTTAGATTAGAAGCTGGGCGGTGGTGGTGCCCGCCAGCAACCCATCTTCGACGGTCCACGATCCTCGCAGCAGTTCGCCCGCCCCGGCAGCGGGTCCGGGGGAGCTTCCGGCAAGCGTCCACGCGTGCCTGCGCGCGCGCAGGCACGCGTGGAAGCGATCCTGGCAGCGCTTCAGAGACTCTGCAGGCGAGCCCCCAGAGCCCCCTGACGAGCTTCACGAGAGTTTCCGTGGGCTTGCCAGGAAGGCTTTCCGGCGTGTGTCCTCTTTGCTCTCTGGGTTTTGGACGCTACCAAGTGGGCGCCACCAGATCCCTCGTAGAGCTCCTCGGCATCGACGAGCTAGAGGAATTCCGGCACATGGATGCGCAGTGCCACGGCCGCGTCGGCGATCGCCTGCGCGCGCCACTTGGACAGCCCCCGTGATAGAGGGGTTGGGGGGAGAAACTAAACCCTAAACGGCTTCACTCTGGGTGGTCTGGGACAAAAGTGCGACTAGCCGTGGCGCGCGCGGCTTGGGCAGCGATCCCCCAACAACTTTGATGCGGGGGATCGCAGCCAGCGCGCGCTTGCGCCAATGCAGGCCCTAGCGCTATCAAAGAGAGCGAGCCAGAAGTAACTCGTAGAGCTTCCCTTAGCAAGTTATTGCTGCAAGCTTAAGAGTAATTCCGGGGCGCTGGAGAGCCAGTTGGCAAGAAAAATCTCGACGCACCTTTTGGTGACTTTTGGTCGGTTGAAAATGTTGTTCTGGAAATTTGTAGATTCGTTAGAGCTCTAGTATTTTTCCCCATCATATTCGATCTTATTCCCGCTCGCCATCTTGATCTCAGCTCGATCGGGTGCATTTTACCGCCAAAAAGCAGGCAGGCGGGATCGGCCGTTTCAAGTCATCTTGACACGCAATGACGGTTTTCTGAAGATAATTCTCGAGCTTTAGAATAGCTACAGAGCTGGTAAGCACATCTAATCGATTCAGAATGATCAGGCGCGTTCGCCTGTTGAATCCAGAGGTCTCAACTCGGTCTTCTAGCCGAGCTAGGTCCGCAAACCTATTCGTATTATTCGAGTCATCTAGACAGACGCTCTCGGTTTTCTGTACTTAACTCGAGCTATAGGACAGCTACAGAGCTGATACTCACATAGACCGATCCAGAATCGTAAGTCGCATTTGTCTATCCAGAGCTCTGAACTCGGTCTGCTGCCCGATCTAGAATCGCGAAACTATTCGTATTGTTCGAGTCATCTTGAGAAGTGCTCTCGGTTTTCTGCACTGGACTCGGGCTGAGGGGGCGCTACAGTGCTGGTGGTCACACGACGATTTGGAGACATGAGGCGCGTCCACCTGTCGAATCCAGAGCTCGGAACTCGGTCTGCTGCCTGAAGTAGGTCTGCGAAACTATTGTATTGTTCGAGTCGAGTCATCCTCAGAGGTGCTGTCGGTTTTCTGCACTTAACTCGGGCTGTAGGGGGCTACAGTGCTGGTGGTGACAGCAATCGATTTGGAGACATCAGGGGCGTCCGCCTGTGGAATCCAGAGCTCGGAACTCGGTCTGCTGCCCAAACTAGGTCCGCGAAACTGTATTGTCGCCCATCGCGGGCGGGGGAGGCGGACAACGACGGGACACCACGGCGGGACAACCCGGCCACCGCACGCCCACTGGGCATGGCGGAGGAGCGGTCAATGGCTCTTGACCCGCCCTGGCCACAGCGGAATCAATCCTCTCGCCCGCCCACGCAGCTTCGCCTCGCCCGCACGCACGACGCAAAACCGAAACCAAAACCGGTTTCATGGTGGGGGGCTCTCCGTTCCACTTCGATCCCCCCCAACCTCCGGCAGAAAAAGAGAGAGAGAGAGAGAGAGAGAGAGAGAGAGAGAGAGAGAGAGAGAGAGAGAGAGAGAGAGAGAGAGAGAGAGAGAGAGAGAGAGAGAGAGGGAGGAGCAGACAGTAACTAGACTGGACTACAACGTAGATTCAAAGTGGACTAGGGCGGGAGGAAGGCCGATCGAGGCACCCGCGTCAAAATCTGAAATCCGCAGATTGGGACTTTTCTGTGGTGTCATGTTTCTCAGAATCGTCTCAGTGCGCTGCACAAAGAATATTTCTCAAAAGGTGAAGAGTAAATACGCACTCTTCACAATCCGATAGATGGGTAGCGACCGACCGGCGAGCCGTCCTGTCGCGGGCGGGCTCGACCGCGCCGCGCGGCTCAGTAGCCGAAAGCGACGGAGTCCTGTTGAAGCTGACCGTATGCATGTGCTTCCATGGACAGAAGCTTTTGGCACCTTTCCTCAGGGGCCGCCGCCTCCGCGCGGTCATCCTCTCCCAGCAGCCCTCCGACAGGAAACCCAGCACGCTGAAGGTTCTTGACGTAAACGTTCAAATAACGCTGCCCCTTGTCGGCATGCCCGTTGCCGACTTTGAGCTGCACCGGTCCGAGTTTCAGCCACCTCGGCTTTTCCGCGCGATCGCCGCGAGCGTCGAAGTGGAAGCCTCCAGGCTGCGCCTTGTGCGCCCATGTCCCTGTGACGTTGATCTCCTGGAAGTATATGTCTGAGCAATGTGCCCCCAATCGACGTGCATCGGCCTTTACAGCAAGCAACGCGTCCTCGACGGGCATTCCGCGCGGAACGCTGACCAAGACAGAGATGCCTGGCCTCGCCAAGTCGAACCGCTGACCGAACATGTTCTACAGGTGTGGGTCGCCGGTGGCGGACGACGCCGTCGAAGAAGTCGGGGATAGCGCGGACGTCGGGCTCGACGTCGGGCTCGGCGTCGGCGCCATTGTCGGTGATGGCGTGGGCGGGGGCGTCGGGCTCGGCGTCGGCGCCATTGTCGGCGATGGCGTGGGCGGGGGTGTCGGGCTCGGCGTCGGCGCCGCAGTCGCCGGCTTATGCCAGACCCTGTATATGGAATGAAAGGCCGCCACCTCGGTGCAAGCATCCAATGCTAGCCAACAAGATCTGTCGCCCTCGGTGACTGCGCCCATGATCGCGACGCATCGCGGCTCAGCCAGACATGACGCCTGGCACACGCTGTATCCCACCAGGCCCTGGAATTTATTATCGCCGGCGCAGACAAGGCCATATGCAGACACGCTCCATGCGTCGCCAGTTGTCGTCATCTGCATCAGCTCGAGGTCAACTGCTGAAGCCAGGCTGGACACGCCGCTGGCCCCGACCAGGCTGGCGATCATAATGACATGTGCCATCTGTGAGACAACTGGAACAACCGTCGTAGATATGAGTGTGCGATGTGCGCGGATGAGGTTCAAAATGCTGAAAGCAAGCCTGACATAAACTCGAGCCAAGATGGTTTCGGAAACATTTTGGGTTTTTGGGGGGGCGTCTTGGGGGCCGTTTCGAAGCAACCGTCACCGTCTTCGGAGCGTCTTGGAGCCCGCATGGACTCCTTAATGCTGTTTTTGCCTTTCCAGGCTCATATTGGGAGCCGTCTTGGGCCTCTTGGGCCATCATGGGCGCCTCTGAAGCGGTGTTGGCGCCCTCTTGGGGTGTGCTGCGGCCCTGTTGGACGCCTCGAGGGCCGTCTCGGGGCGTAGGGAAGCGGAGCAGGCGACAACGGGAGAATCTTTGAAAGACCTACTGGAAACCAATGAATGCTGCGAATCGGGAATCTCTCGGAGAGCACTTTGGAGCCCTCTTGGGGCGTCTCGGAGGCCTCGTGGGCCGTCTCGAAGCAATGGTGGGCGTGCTGGGGGCGTTTTGGGGACCTCTGAGCACCCTTTATGCCCTTTTGGCGGGTTGAGGTTCGGTTGGGAGGTCTGGAGTAGGGCGCCCTCGAAGCCATCCAAGACCCCCTGAACCCCCCATGACACACTTTAGCACCGATCCAAATCATCTGGGGGCCACTAAGGCCTGTGGGGACCTGCTGGCAATCCCAAGGATACTCTTGGGGCGGAAATCCTGGATTCTGACATGGATTTCCCGATCTTGGCTCTCTCTCAGGGCTGTCTTGGAGCGCTCTTGAGCCGTCTTCGGTGCCTCTGGGTCCGTCGTGGGGCGCTCTTGGGCTGCCTTGGGGCAGTCTTCGGGGCCTCTCGGCCCGTCTGGGGGCGAGCTCGGGGGCCTCTTGGGTCGTCTTGAACGTCGTGAAGAGCAATTCATGATGGACCCACGAACCCGGAAAGGGATATAGACATGTGGAGCATGGACACGTTTTCACGATACCCAACTGGGCAACACCTCGCGAAACATCCCACGAGACACTTCACGAAACATCCCACGAGACACCTCACGAAACATTCCACGAGACACCTCACGAAACATTCCGCGAGACACCCCGCGAAACATTCCACGAGACACCCCACGGAACATTCCACGACGACAGGCAACGACTCAACCAAGGCAGTGTGGTCGTGCTGGGGAGTGGTCGTGCTGGGGTGTGGTCGTGCTGGAAGGTGGTCGTGCTGGGGGGTGGTCGTGCTGGGGGGGTGGTCGTGCTGGGGGGTGGTCGTGCTGGGGCGTGGTCGTGCTGGGTGCGTGCTGGGGTGCGTGGTGGGGTCGTGCTGGGGTGTGGTCGTGCTGGGGTGGGTCGTGCTGGGGTGGGGTCGTGCTGGGGTGCGTGCTGGGGGTGGTCGTGCTGGGGTGGGGGTCGTGCTGGGGTGGGGTCGTGCTGGGTGGGGTCGTGCTGGGGTGTGGTCGTGCTGGGGTGTGGTCGTGCTGGGGTGTGGTCGTGCTAGGGTCGTGCTGGGGTGGGGTCGTGCTGGGGTGTGGTCGTGCTGGGGTGTGGTCGTGCTGGGGTGTGGTCGTGCTGGGGCGTGGTCGTGCTGGGGTGGGGTCGTGCTGGGGTGGGGTCGTGCTGGGGTGTGGTCGTGCTGGGGTGGTCCGCACCCTGTGATTTATCGATCGGGTCGTGCTGGGGTGTGGTCGTGCTGGTGCTGGGGTGTGGTCGTGCTGGGGTGTGGTCGTGTGGGGTGTGGTCGTGCTGGGGTGTGGTCGTGCTGGGGTGTGGTCGTGCTGGGGCGTGGTCGTGCTGGGCTTGGTCGTGCTGGGGTGTGGTCATGCTGGGGGTGTGGTCGTGCTGAGGTGTCCCGCACCCTGTGATTTATCGATCGGACATGTTTACATACTAAAAGAGAACCCTGGGCCTATGCCCTTTCCGGGAAAAAAAACATGATGGACCCACGAACCCGGAAAGGGATATAGAACCGCATGCATGGAAACGTTTTCACGACACCGTCTTGGGCGACGGGCACTTCCACGAGACACCCCGCGAAACATTCCACGAGACACGGGCGACCGTTTTTTCAACGTTTTCCTGGAAACATTCTACGAGACACCCCACGAAACAGTCCACGAGACACCCCACGAAACATTCCACGACGACAGGCAACCACTCAACCAAGGCGGTGTGGTCGTGCTGGGGGGTGGTCGTGCTGGGGGGTGGTCGTGCTGGGGGGTGGTCGTGCTGGTCGTGCTGGGGGGGTAGTCGTGCTGGAGCGTGGTCGTGCTGGGGCGTGGTCGTGATGGGGCGTGGTCGGGATGGGGTGTGGTCGTGCTGTGGTGAGGTCGTGCTGGGGTGTGGTCGTGCTGGGTGATGGTCCTGCTGGGGTGGGTTCGTGCACCTGGGGAAGACAAATCTCTGGGGCGCCCAGATCCCTCAAGTTCTACAAAACAAGCGTTTCGCTCGAGACATCCTCGGCAAACTCTGCGGAGCAAGCGTTTCGCTCGAGACATCCTCAACGCACGAAAAAGTGGCCCGCACCCTGTGATTTATTTATCGGGATTTCAAAAACAAGCGTTTCGCCTGAAACATCCTCAAATTTTAATCCGCCGGCCTCCTTCGACCTCGATATTTATCAGGGAAAGAATCCGCCGGCCTCCTTCAAGTTGGGCACGGGGGGATTTACATACTAAAAGAGAACCCTGGGCCTTTGCCCTTTCCGGGAACATGTCCCGACACTGCTTGACGGCGGCGCCCGGACCTCATGATTTAGCTTTTGCAGATCCCATTATCCGAGACAGGGGGCCGGCGGCATGAGGCGAAGCCTTTACGGATAACCAAAAAATGCGCTAAACATATACGAAGACAGAAGAGAACACGAAACATCGTCACCGGACAATGTTTCACGATTCCCGAATGTGTCTCCTGTAGGAGGACATGCCCGGCGTCTCGAGGCACAGCCACCCGTGGTCACGACGAGCGCGCCCCAGGACGATCACGAAACACCAGAAGGCGAACGTCGACCCTCGAACCAAGAGGGGCCCAGGGCCACACAGAAACTACATCAATCCTGGGATTCCCCATATTTTTTATATTTTCTTGACGTCCGTCTTCCCCCACTTCCCATCTGTTCCGCTATTTTCTGGGGGATCGGCGATTATTTGCGTCTTGAGCCCCAGTGATCCCCTCCTCGTCGATGTCCCCAAGCCCGCCCCAGATATTCGCCGATACACTCGGCCCGTATCAGAAGTATGCTTGATCAGGATGCAAGTGCCTTGGTGGGCCACGTTATCGCTTTTCGAATGAAGCTGGCCAACGACAGTCGCTAAGGATGGACCGAAGGGGCAAGGCTGCAAAGGTACCTGTGGATAGGTTGCCCATCCCTATCGCGCGGGCTGACTGTATGATTTTTTCAATCCGCGGCACCGAGGCCCCAGGGGTAGCATTTTCGCCCCCGACCCGTTTCTGATGGCCCCCCGGCCCGCGAACGGGCCCCAGAAGCTGACAAAAATGCAGGAATAGCCTCCGGACTGCAAAAATCAGACCCTCGCACCTCTGGGCCCCAACCGACCGCGGCTCGGGCACCGGCATGCGTCGCCGGCCTAACCGAGCGCCCACTGCGAACACCTCGAACCGAATGGCCACCAAGGGGGCGGCGGGCGGGCAAAAACCGCGCCACAGGCGCCGCTCGCCGAGCGCGCCCTCCTCGGAACCCTGGGCCCCTCCTATTCCCCTTTCCGAGACAGGCGGCGGGCGCGCGCGCGCGCCTTTCTGTGCCCCGCTCGGGGCCGCCGCCGGCCACCCTCGGGAAAGTGGCGCCCGCAAGCCAAGGGCCCCCCCGGAAGCCTGCGGACGGAGGGGGCGGGCGAGCGGCGGGCGAGCGGCGAGCGGCAGACGAGGATGAGGACGAGGAGGAGGGGGAGGAGGAGAGGAGGAGGAGGAGGAGGAGGAGAAGGAGGAGGAGGAAGAGGAGGAGGAGGAGGAGGAGGAGGACGACGACGACGACGTGGAGGATTTTTTTCCTCTGCGAGCAAGTGGGCAGGACCGAGGGCGGCGACAGTTCGCCGACATGCGCACAAGATGTGCGCCAAACAAGACCGCGCATGGCTGACCAACTTGTTAGGTCAAGCACAGTCCTCACAAACAGATCCAGAGTCCACATCCGTCGGCATAGCGAGCGGGGCCTTGCCCGCAGATGGGGCGAGGCCGTGTGGATCTGGCGTAGGGCTGCGACCTCTGCAGAGTGCCGAACGGAAGCAGCCTGCCCTGCACGATGACGCGTGCCCAACGCGAGCAAAAAGAGATGTTGGGGCCCAGAACCAAAGCTCAAGGGCCACAGCAACATCAGACGAGCCACTGTCAGGATGAAGTCACCCCCGTGCTCGGACCAAGAAGACGCGCACCCTAGGTGTGCATGCTCCTTCCCCCAGAAGGTGGGTGCCTGACACGCGTGCACGACGGACGCACGCACAACGAGAACGTACACAACCTGATCAAGGAGAA